AGTGCCAGGACATAGAGGGCACTGGCTCACTGGCTGAGATGAATGAATGAATTCAAGGCTCGTGGTTCAGGGTCCAAAATTAATGAGTTGATGAGGTTTGAAGAAAAATAGTCAACATTTGAAGGAATTCCTTCCACCACACATTGGATAAAAATAGGTGGAAGTCATTTTTAAATCTGGCCACTCTAACTCCAGTGATGCCATTATCTGACTTGGCCAAAGTAGGACATTTCATTGAGTAGAGAAGAAGGAACATGCGGTGATCTGGCTAGGAAATGATGCCCTTTGTGTTGCTTGTTCTGTCAAATCAATGGAAGCATCTTCAAGCCATTTCTCTAGATTCTCCAGCCAAAGAATTTGTCAGTCATATCTTTGATGCACTGTCTTGAAATTAAAAAAAAAAAAAAAAAGGAATGGGAAAGCCAGCCAAGCTCTGTGTCCCATGTTCCTTTTTGTTCTCAGGAGGAGGCCCTGGGGTGCTGCTGCCTGTTTCCCAAGGCTGGCAGACACAATGCTGTCTCAACTAACATTTTCAGAGTAATTTGGGAGCTGTGACAGTCTTATAATGCAGAAGAGTGAAGGTGAACGGGCGTGGCAGACACTGGTGAGAGGAGATACTATCCTGGGTTTATTTATTCTTCTAGTCACTCATGTAAAAATCATTCATTCATTCAAAAAGTGAAATCTGCTCTAATATTTTTTAAATGTCTTGTTTTTTAAGAGTGCTTTTATGCCCCAAAATAACCTTCTCAAGTTAACTAGACTTTAATATCTAATTTGTTACAGTTTTAAGTTTTATTTATTTTAATTTTTTTTTTTTTTTTTTTTTGAGTTGGAGTCTCACTCTGTCGCCCAGACTGGAGTGCAGTGGCTGCTCCCGGCCACCGCAACCTCGACCTGCTGGGCTCCGGCGATCCTTTCGCCTCAGCCTTCCAAGTAGCCAGAACTACAGGCGTGCGCTGCCACGCCCTGCTGATTTTTTGATTTATTATAGAGATGAGGTCTCGCTGCCCAGGTGGGTCTCGAGCCCGCGGGCTCAGGCAATCCACTCACCTCAGCCTCCCAAAGGTGCGGGATTACAGGCTGAGCCACCGAGCCTGGCTACGGTTTTAAGTTTTAAACCTAGATTTTCTTATACATCTCATTTATAAATCAAATGTTTTGGTATACAAGAATTTTTTAGATCAGAAAATATAGTTTATTTAGAAATTAGAGAAAAAGAGAGAAGAGATTACCTCCCTGTAGTAGAAGAGGGGGTCTAAGCTAGGAAAACATGGTGCTCATAGCTCAAAGAGCCACATGGCCAGATCAGAGTTTAGTAAAACAATGACCATGTTTTGGTATAAATTAAGGTCATTTTCACTTGTTATCAATTAGTGCTTTATTAAATCAGACTTAACAGAGCGACTTTACCTACACAATTAACACTGTTTGCAAACTTGGATAATTAAGTTTCCTTAAATATTTTAGATTACATTCATAAATTTATCATACCTAGTTTCCTTGAGCTCTTCAAATGTTTGACATGGTAGACTTACCAGCTAAACAAGCAAAATCTTTCTAAGCACTTAACAGCTCTTGTAAATCAAGTAAATTAAAGTTACAAATGTCATAAATTATTTTAAACATTTCCATTATTTTTATCATCTTAATCCAGTTTTTAACTATTCATCTTAAGAGTCTCAACTAAAAACATACTCCTTTAAAATCAAAATCACAAGACGGCTTGTGAGATTCTCTTATATGCTATGTATTCTTTTAAATGCTAGAAACACACAGAGATTAACGTAATGGTCACAAAGCTTTAATCTCAAGTCTTCATATTATGATCTGCTTTATCATCTCTCTCCGTCTTTTTAAACCTTTCCCAGATTTTAGAATCACATACTCCCAAGTGAGGGGAGTCGGTTTATTGTCTCAAGGTGGGCTGGGGGGCATCACACGGCTTTTCTCAGTCAGATTCAGGACCAGGACACAGGAGTGGTCAGGTCATCTTCCAGAGTCATTACTCTAGAGTCAGAACCGAAAACACTGTCGTTCTTTCTGCCATGTCATCGGGGTCCCTGAGCCTCTTGGCTGGAATTTCATTTAGCCACATAATAAACACAGTCTCTCTGGGTTTCTTTCAAGTTTTCATCTTAATCAGTTTTTGTAACCACTTTCAACATGTATTGCCCGATTTGGATCAGTGGACTTTCATACCTCATCGAGGTTGTACCTAATTTCCTCTGCCCCTTGATTAGAGCCAACTAATGTCCTCACTGCCTGAGTGAATTCGGCAGGCTTTCTACATTTTTCTTGTCTGACTCTCAGCCACATGTCTGGAGTCATTTTACAAACAAATTGCAGCTTCCCATTAGTTAACACAAGCTTGCCCGGTGACAAGACCTAAGCGAACTAGTTCTGAGTGAAAGAGGGAATTTACTTCCTCACACGGTTGGGCCTCCCGGAGCTGCTTCTGGCTTCAGGTATGGCTGCATATGGGGGGCTCGAGTAATGTCAGGGGCACTCTCCTATCCTGCTCAGCTGAGCTTTTCTTTCTAGTTCCTTCTCAGGCAGGTGACAGTGTAGTAGCCATTCTTGGGGCTGGGCTGAACGACATTAGTCAGGGTCCTTACTCTTTCAGTCTCAATTTCTTCATTTGTAAATGGGCAGGTTGACACCTACCTTGCAGGCATGATGTGAAGACTTGAGGAAACTATAACAGTATATTTAAAGTACCCGGCACGATGCCTGACTCATGGTAAGCTCTCAGGTGTTAATTGCTGGGCAGGCAGATAGGAAGACCCCTTATAGAGAATGATGAGAAGACTCTGTGGCAGGGACCACAGAAGCAAATACAGATTTGTGACACTGTGGAGGAATTCAGAGTAGGGAATGAATTGGATGGGCAGGAGGATGTGGACAAGGCCTCACCGGAAGAATTTGGAACAGGGTGGTAGGATGGGAAAAAGTCAAATTACGTAAGTGGAGGCTCAGAGCTGCAGGCCCCTCTGGTTTTTGTGAGCTCACCCACAGCACATCTTTCTTTGAGCTCTCACCCTTCTGCCTTACCCTCCCTCCCTGGACCACCCTCCTGCATTCTCCTGCATTTCTGTGGGATCCTTCAGGTTTGGAAGCCAAATTGGAGTGTTGAAGGGAAAGGTGATAAAAACTGGTTTTCAGTCAGCCTTTGTCTTTCTGCCTGAGCTCTGCTGATCAGGTGTCTTACAAGCTGGTGGAATGAACCGGGGCTTCTTTGAGGTAAATGTTTGTATGTGGTGGGGTGGGCTTTTGAGATCTCAGTGCTCTGTATTTCCCAGGCTTCATGCTGCCGCTTTGTGGGGCTTTCAGCAAGACACGCTGGACGGCTGAGTAGTAGAATAGCGTGGTTAAGTCAATGCTTAGGTGTCAGACTTCCCACTCCTGGCTGTGTGACCTTGAACCAGGATCCCTCACATCCCAAGCCTGGCTTCTTCCTGGGGAAGTGGGGCATGTCATGTCTGGTATGTGCTGAGGACTGACATGATGGAAAGCCATCTGGTGTCACAGTAGAGAGGGTGTCTCTGGAGTCAGGGTGGCCAGATCCAAATCTACTCCATGTGTCACCTTTCTAAGCCTCAGTTTCTCCACCTGCACAGCCGTCAAACAGCAATACTTATCCTGTTCTACAAGGTCAGCTAGAGAGGTATCACACTGATGTTAGAAGCTTGCTTTGTCGCTACTCCTTGCTACCGCGAGTTTCAATGAGCAAATATTTCCTGAGTATCTGCCACCCGTCAGCCAAACACATGAGCAGATGAAGCAGGGTGGTGTGACAGAGTATGGTGGGTTTGATGGGTATTGGGGTGGCCTTTCTGAGGAGGTAACCCTTCAGCTGAGACCTGAAAGATGAGAAAGAGGCAGGGACAAGTGTCCAGGAAGAGGGACAATCAACGCAAAACCTTGGAGAGGAGGACAGTCTTGACTTAGAAGGAACAGACATCCATGTGGTCAGAGCCAATCACAATGGAGAAAGGTGGTCAGAGACAGGATGAGAAAGTAAGGTCATCTCAGAGAGTTGTGTGGGCCAGCGGGGAGAGTTTGAACTTGAAGCATCTGAGAAGCAACTCAAGGGTATTAAGCAGCAGGGTGACAGGATAGTCTGTCTGCTGCGAGGCGGATGGATCATTAGGGATTGCACGCAGACCACAGAGATGGCCTTTTAGCAATAACCCAGGCAGTCGACAGCACTGTGAACTGCAGGTAGCAGTGGGGGTGGAGGGGACAGAGGGGCTGAGCATGTTTGGATATATTTTGCAAGCAGAGGTGATAGGACCGGGTGCTGGATTAAATGTGGCTGCTGTGTCGGTAGGTGGGGGAGATGGATGGTACAGAGGAGAAATCATGGAGAATCACTGCAAAGAGCTTTGACTTGATCAGCCTGGGGCTGGGGGACGAAGAACTCTATTTCAGAAGCACTCTGGGATATTATTAGAGTCAGAGCTACTGATCGAGTTGATAGGTTCTTCCGGCTGTCACCATTTTCCTTCCCTTGGCATTTTATCCCAGGAGTGGGTTCCAGAGAAGCCAAACTACAGCTCTTCTGCCCACTCTGACCCCTACGCAAGGGGCCAGTATGGAATTTTTCCCTGCACGCTTTTAGCTCCACTCCCCGAACTCACTGTGCCCCTGCCCTTCCCCAAGGCCTGGGAAAGAGCAGTTGGCTTTTATAAAGTCCCTGAGGTGAAGTGAGGAGGTTGTGGGATGTAGGTAGTGTCTATAGCCACCTCTGCTTGTAGAAGCACCCACAGTTTGGGGACAGGGCCTGCTAGCCACTTCCTACCCGTCCGCCAATCCCAACTGCAAGGCGAATGGTATCCTAGGGGATAAGTCACATCTGAGGCAAATGAGCTTTGTCCAGGACTTAATGACACCGGCCAGGTCCTCTCGGGGACGGTGCCCATCTGTCTGTGTCATTAGCCTGGGCTAGAACAGCATGAGGTTTGGGTGCTCAGGATGGGATGTGTTTGTCTTGGCAGCTGGGATGACAGCAGCTCCGTCAGCAGCGGCATCAGCGACACCATAGACAACCTCAGCACCGATGACATCAATACCAGCTCCTCCATCAGCTCCTATGCTAATACACCTGCCTCCTCTCGAAAACACTTGGATGTGCAGGTAAGGGACACACACCCTCCCGGGCTTCTTCAGTGGCCCCTGCCAGCAGGGAACCTCCGGCTTGTGGGGTGACCAGAATGCCCAGGTTGATAAGAGGAGGCCCAGCCTCCTGCTGCCTTTGCTGTCACCTCTCGACCTCGACCTCTACCAGCAGGGAGGCGTCAGGCGTGGACAGTGGAAACAGGATGAAGCCTCGCCATCCTCACTGTGTGGCCCTAGTGGAGTAATGTTTCCTCCCTGAACCTCCATCTCATAATCTGTTCACAAAAAACAAACAGAAAAGGACGTTAGACTTTAGCAGTTCTCGGTGTGGAGTGGAGGTCCCCTCTTTGCCACAGTGAGCCACTGCTGTCTGGGGGTGCATGTCTGATCCTTCAGGGGGATGGGGTGGGAATAAGGATGTGAACCCTGGACCGGATGGCCAGTATGTTCTGCCATGAGGTTCGGAACTGCCAACTGTTGGTCTAGGGGTCACATCTCCCTGCCAATGTGTTTAGTTTGGCCCATAGCGTTACTATCTTTTTTTTTTTTTTTTTTGAGTTGGAGTCTCACTCTGTTGCCCAAACTGGAGTGCAGTGGCACACTCCCGGCCACTGCAGCCTTGACCTGCTAGGCTCCGGCGATCCTTCCACCTCAGCCTTCCAAGTAGCTGGAACTACCAGCGCGCACTACTATGCCCAGCTAATTTTTGATTTATTGTAGAGATGAGGTCTCGTCAAGTTGCCTGAGTTGGTCTCGAACTTGTGGGCTCAGGCAATCCACTCACCTCAGTCTCCCAAAGTGCTGGGATTGCAGACTGAGCCACTGAGCCTGGCCTACTCTTCTTTTAAAACCAGATTCCATATCAAATTTTAAAAATTGCATATTTCACATGAAAATATCTGCTCTCTCTTGAAAAATCAGGTGATATTGCTGCCATGAGCCTATATTCTCCACATGGTGACAATCAGCAGATGTCCCAGGATCTGCCCCCATTAGACTGGCCACTCCTACTCCAGTGGACCCAGCTACTACCTGCTGGCTGGCTGCATTCTTTAAAATAGCCCCGGGCCTTGAGGTGTTTGAGTTTTCAACCCCTGTGTTACACTCTTAGATTTTATGTTTCAAATATGGTGCCGTTACGCATAGGCAGGTTCACTGGCCCACACAGCATTCCTCGGTGATCGCAGGGGGTGGTTCTGATAAGTCCATATTACCCCCTGGGAAGGTGAAGTGCCGTCCTCACAGCCTGTCCCCAATTTGAGACTAATCAGCATAAGGACTGGTCAGCCGTGGCGGTGCTGGCGTAGTGGGCTGGAGCCTTTTTCATGATTGGTCCCTCCCACTAGTGGGGGCCAACCGCTGTCTTGAGCCGACCCATGGGAAACTCTGATGGGGACAAAGCCTCCTGGTGTGACCTTGGGGAGGGCAGAACTAGCACTACCCCTTCTTCCACTTCCTTCCATGTCCTCCTCCTTTCTTAACTGGTTTTTTTTTTTTTTTTAACTTTGCACAGAGAAGAGCTGATTTGGAAATCTCCTTTCACAGGTATCTCTTCTTTGAGCGTAGGGCTAAGGAAAGGATGCATCAGTGTGGGAGTAATTCTGTCCCACAGAAATGAAGCAATGGTGGCCTGATGAAATAGATTAGGTGTTGCCCACGGGAGTGCCAGTTACTTCTTGCATTCTCATTTTAGCCAGATTTTCCAATTATTATTTCGGAGTAAGGGTATGTTGTGGTGGTTGTTTTTTTAAAAAAAATCTACCCAAATGACTGAAAGGGGGTCATTTTGGTGTGACTGGTAATGTCTATATCTTGATCTGAGTGGTAGGATGTATGTTAATTTTCTAAAATTTATTCAAGCTGCATACTTAAGATTGTACACTTCACTATACAAAAAACAAACACAATCCCAGTCATACTGCCCAAGAGTGACCACTGTCTAATCAGTGGTTAGACACAAGTGAGAAACACTCAGCCAGCCCCTGTCCCTGCCCCTATCTATATGCCAAATGTCACACTATCCACCGGTTTTCCTGTTCCTGTGGACACTAATTTTTTTTCTTGAGTTTCATTCCATATTCAAGATAACCACCACCCAGTTTCCAGACTGTCCTTAGAAAATAAGGTAAGAGCCAAGGCATCGATCACCCAGGCGTGTGTATCCAGGAGCCAGGAAGGTTATTAGATGTACTGCAGAGAGAGGGAAAATCAGAGAAGACTCCCTTATTAACTTGGAAGATAGGAGAAGCTTGTTCCCAAGATGCAGGCTGAGCCAGTAACATGCTGTATTGGAAGAATTTCTTTTTCTTTGTTCCCTTTCTGCAAAGCCAGAGTTGGAATCTCTGTTCCACATTGATACAAAGCAAACATCTGGGATTTGCAAATGATTTCCTATCTGATACAGTTGAATTTGGTTAATGCCAAGGCCCCACCTCTTTGGATCAACTCTGCTTTCATCTTGCTAATGTCACATCAGAAAAGATTCAAGAATTCTACACACATCTTTTGATCAACATCAGAAGTTATTTCAAGGGGGGGCAAAGGGTTTATTATTCATTGGGTGGTTTTGTTTTGTTTTTTTCCTACACAACTACCTGGGTTCAAAATATTAAAATTGAAATGAGAAAAGTAGCAGTAAAATAAATGCAGACTGCACCAATAGTTGCTATGATTTCTAGCGATGGTTTCTTTAAATGGATTTTTAGTGACAGTCCCTTTGTTTCTGTCCAGGGAGCATCTCAAAATATTTGAATCAGCATACTTTGCAGCCTCCCACCCTTCTCCCCCATATCACTCTGAGGAACGCTAAGGACCATTACTCCTCTGTGAGCAGCATCAGGCTACGGGGAGATGTGCGCTGCACCCTTCCTGGGAACTGCGCCTTCTGCACTCTGGTCCATATGTGTCTCTGTCACATGCTGGTTTACCTTGGACCGGGGGGCAGCACCCAGTCTGCTAGGCGAGACATGGGGAGGCAAGAGGAAGTGGCTTAGCATATCCATAAGGAAAGCCAGTTGAGGACAGGTGCTTGGGTCTTCCCATCTGAAAAGCCCCTGAGGAACAGCTGGAAGGAATTGCACCCAAGACAGTGATTGTCTGGGAACCCTAAGGCACAGCCTCGTGCAGCTGATTGGAAGAGGAAGAGGCAGATCATTGGGAACAGAGGTTCCCTTTGTCTGTGAGGGACTTCGTTTTCCTTGGTGATGTCAACAGGCACTGAAGGGTGCCCTCCAGGGAGCACATGTGCCATCCAGCATCGGCCCCTGTGCTCGCTGCTCCTTGGAGTCCAGCAGAGAATCCCCTGCTGAGACCTGAGGGCCTCTTGAGTGACTCCCTCCAGGAGAGCTGCTAATTCCAGCTGGGCAGCCAGACCCTGGTACGGTGTCAGGAAGATGGTGTGGACTTGGAAGTCAGAGTTTTTGAGTTGAGCTCTCACTCTGTGGTATCCTGGGATGAGCAAATTACCTTTTGCAAGGCTTAGCATCCTTATCTGTGACATAGCAGCAATTAGACCTGTCTCCAAGGGTGAGTGTGAAAATGACCCAGAGATTCTTCATCTGAGCACATTTCTCTCAGGGCCTAAGGCGAAACGGTTGCTTGGAAGTCTTGTTCTTTCCTTCTTCCCTCTCTCTCTCCATCTCTCCCTCTTCCATGCATGCCAGTCACTAAAAGTTGACTGTGTTCTTATTTTGTTTGTAGTTTCAAAGCAACCCATATTTGGAATATTTTATTTGGGGGACAGTGTGTTAGTGGCAGAGGGCTTTGACAAACACACATCACTCTCCCACACATTCAACATTTTCCCTGGGTTCTGTGGAAGGCAACATCCCAGGTGCTGAAGGCAAAGCTGTACATGTCAGGATTTCCTCTCATTTTCTTTTTTTTTTTTTTGAGTTGGAGTCTCACTCTGTCACCCAGACTGGAGTGCAGTGGCCGCTCCCGGCCACCGCAGCCTCGACCTGCTGGGCTCCAGCGATCCTTCCGCCTCAGCCTTCCATCCTCTCATTTTCAATGCCTGTGAAATGTTCAACAACACACACAAGCGGAAACAGACAGTTCCATGTCAGTTTATGTTCTGCTACTCTGGGAAATACAATTTTGAATTATGTGGCAAGGATTCCTGTCCTGCATGGCCTCGGGTGTCCTTAGAGCTCTCTGGCTGTCCTCTGAATGTTGTCATGGATGTAGGGATGGGGTTGGAGGGACGAGTTGGGGTTCCCTTTCCCACCACCTGCTGGGAGCTGCTGCTTCTGACTTTGGGAAAGTCACTCTTCTTAGTCAAACCTACTTTTTCCTGGGGTGTAAAATACTGATAATAACACACCTGAGGGGGTAAGATGAGCTGGAAGTGTTCAAGGGACACAGTGCCTGGGGGAGTGACTGGCAGCTGACGATGCTGAAGCCAGGTATTCTTTCTGTGATGACTGGGGCTCAGACTTCAGCCACCTCAGAATCTAGCTCTGAAGGAGATGTGAAGAGGGAGGATCCCTGCCTCCTGGTGGCTTGTGGCCCAGGAGCAGGAAAGACAATTACCTCTTCCTCCAATGGAACAAACAAAAATGGAGCAGATGCTGAAGATGATGACAGAGGGGTGGGGACTTCCAGAGATGGGAAGAGTTGGTGGCGGAAAGAGCCACTATTTGTTGCGTCCCCCACACTGCATCCATAGAGTCTACCATCAGCTCTCTCAGATACCTATTTATGATCATTCCTGTTTCACACACAAGGCAGTAATCTCAGAGAAGTGGAGCAGTGTCCTCCGGGGTCACACAGGGCAAACGAGTGGCAGCCCCCAGCACTTGAACCCAGAACCCACACTCTTCCTCCACGTCACCCCAAGCTTCTGTTCTTCCGGTCTCACCTTGGTTCCACCCTGAGAAGATTGGTCTCCCCTCTGGCGTCCCTTATGTGTGGCCTATTTCTCCACCTTTCCCTTGAACGGTGAATGACTAAGTAGACTTCCAAGGAAGGGTAATATGAAACTCCTTCAGAAAAAAGGTGGTGCCATTGAGATGGGAACAATGGGCAAAGGCATGGAGAGGAAGGCAGGATAGACCCCGAACAGATCCCCACATGGGGTAGATCCCCATGAGGAAGTCATGCCGGCTGGCCCCCGCTACTGAGAGCTTTGGGAACAGAGTCTAGGACGTACTTATTTCTTAATCCCAAGGGTTTGCCACCACGTGGTCTGGCACAGCTCAGGAAGGATTTGCTACAGAGATACGAACTCAGAACCAATAGAGTGTCCCAGGGCAAATGCCCAGATCTTCAAGTAGAGCTGGGAAGGCAACTGTCCTGGACCAAGTTGGGAGTGGGGTGTGACGGTTGGATGTTGAGGGTGGAGGATGTGATGGTTGGATGTTGGGGGTGGATGGTATGATGGTTGGATGTTGACGGCAGGGATGTGATGGTTGGATGTTGAGGGTGGAGGATGTGCTGGTTGGATGTTGGGGGTGGGAGTGTGATGGATGTTGAGAGCTGGGGGTTGTGATGGTTGGATGTTGAGGGCAGGGGTGTGATGGTTGGATGGTCCCCATTCTAGAAGGGGAGAGTCAAGCCAGCATGTGCACTTTTTCTAGGAAATTGGATTTCTAGGGGTCCTATGCAGACACTGGGCTAGTGCTGCTCTAGGATTGGGGTTCAGGAGCAGCCAGCCAGCCTGCCAGGATGGAAGGTGTTGATATTAGGTGCTACTGGGTGTGTAGAGACACCTCATATCCTTGGACTCATCCTCAAGGAAGGTTAACACGCGGGCTCTGCGATTAGGCTTTCTGGAATCCCAGCGTCTTCACTGTGTGACCTTGGGCAATTTTCTTTTCCACTCTGTGCCTCAATTGTCTTGTGTAAAATTGCAACTATTAGCTGTAACTTCCTCATGGGTTTTTGATAAGGATTGAATTCAATGATGGATTTCAAGCACCTTAGCTTAGTGCCTGGCACATAGTAAGTGCTCAATAAGTTTTAGTTGTAATGCTACTGTTATTGGCACCATTATAATGTGATTATGGAAAATAGATATAAGAGCATTTAAAGAATAAGTAATGCAGTAACATATGTGGCATGTGCTAAATTTTTAGTGCCTCTTAAAAAGCATATTAGAATATGTTAGAATATACTTGAACATAAGCTCCATGAGGTTGATAATTTGCATTTGTTCATTGTGTTATTCCCAGTGTAAATATTTGTTAAATGAATGCTTCCAAAGTCTAGTTCTTTCCTGCCTCCGGGCCTTTGCACATGCAGTTCCCTCTGCCTGGCATGCTCTTCCCTAAACTGATTCCTTACTAACTTTCTTTTCATTCTTTAGGGTACATCTTCCAAAAGCTCATAACTGACTGCTGCCCCCCATCCCCATCATCAAAATCTAAATTAGATCAATGTCTGTATTTCTCTCTCAAACTCCTTGTCCTTTCTTTGTAATAGTCTTCATAATTCACAATTCCACACTTGTTTGTAGGTATTTGTTCAATCTCCACCTCCTTCACTGGATCTTAAACTCCATGAGGGATGGAAACCTGTCTTACCCACAGATTCTCTGACCTTGGGTGGTGCCTGGAAGACAGTGGACACTGAGTTCATTCTGGTTCAACACTGGAGGTGTTTAGAGGAAGGAGACACTGGGCTGAGCGAGTTGGGATAAGGGCATGGGTAACTTTATTGTCTGCAAAATTGCGATAAAGACAATAGTGCTTACCTACTTACCCTCCTTAACCAGGTATTGACTGGTCTCAGCTGAGATAATTTTGTTAAAATGTGCCGTAGCCTGGAGAGCGGGTGTTCCTTTGCTCCTTCCTTAACTCCCCAAGCTTCAAGTAAGCACCTGTTCAGTGCCACATGTGTCATCTCAGAAGGATGAGCTTCTCACAGTCAGAAGTGTGTTTCTGTCCTCGTATCTGGTGCTCATACCTAGCTGGGAAAAAACAAAGAACTCACAGGTAGCTGTCATGGGCAAGTGGAATTCACAAGGGGAGAAGGTTGTGAGAGAGAGGTAATTTGGGCTGCCTGTCTTGTTTTCACTTGTATCCCACTCAGCCCTCGTATTTGTGGAGGAAGGCAAGTGTTCCACCCTTGGAAAGCAGGCATCAGGCCGCAGTCTGACTGGATGTTCATTCTCTCTTCCCACCCTGCTGATCACACCCACTCTTAGCAGTGAAGGATAGCAAACATGGGACTCGGGTTTGGCCACCCCAAAAGTGCTGCCGCTCTCCCTCTCCCACTTACTGAGTGCTTCTCCCCGCCCGTGCCCTCCCCCTCACCGACTGTCTGTACCCCTTGACTGGCCTCAAACCCCAGGAGGCCTCTGAAGCATTCTGGTAAGCTCTATGCCTTTTAGATGCAGGAGATCATTAACGTCACACTCCTGTCCCTCCTGGGTTCCGTGACCAGCAGGTCAGGGCTCTTCCAAAGAAAGCCGGCTAATTATATCCCTCGTCTGAACAAAATCCCGCAAGGGGAGCAAGCCAGTGGCATATAAACGATGCCGGTGGGGGCAGGTACCGCAGCTCTTAGCATCTGAGGGAGGCGATGGGTGAGGACCATCTCTTCCCGGCTCCTGGCTCCCCCTGATTGTATGGAACTAGCAGCCACCCCTGCTCGCTTGCTCCCATGCTCCATGTGTCAGTTCCAAAGATCTAGCTGCCAGCGGAGTGATGGGAAGAGGGCATAATGGAGGGAAGTGACTGGGAGGCTGGCTGCTGGTTAGAGACCCAACCACTGGAGTTATCCAAGTGGCAGAGATTTAGTGTCTGAATTCCCACCACACCCCCGGCTGGTTCCCCTCCTTGGACTCCTTCCCTCTTTTTCCCTGGACCCCTGTTACTCCTCCTCCTTACTCCTTTCTAGGGTTATATTTATATTATTTACGTCCCTTGTACCAAAAAAAAATTATATATATATATGAGAATCAGGCTTTTCAACAAGATAATCAGAGAATGAAATCCCAAATGTTTTTAAAGTAATGATTATTTTACCCTTAACTAGTCCAGTGTTCTGGCATTTTTACCTTTGGAGTGAGGGACTCGCTTGCCTGGGATTTGGAGGGACTAATCCAGAGAGTCTCTGCCCACAGACCGACGCGGAGAAACACTCGCAGGTGGAGAGAAATTCCCTGTGGTCCGGTGAGGATGTCAAGAAATCAGACGGAGGGTCAGACAGTGGCATAAAGATGGAGCCCGGTTCCAGGTGGAGGAGGAATCCTTCCGACGTGTCTGACGAGTCCGACAAAAGCACATCAGGCAAGAAGAATCCCGTCATCTCCCAGACAGGCTCGTGGCGGCGAGGCATGACTGCTCAGGTGGGAATCACCATGCCGAGGACGAAGCCGTCCACCTCAGCAGGTGCACTCAAGACCCCAGGAACTGGTGAGTATAAGACCAGCTCTGTCTTTTCTGTACGGTTGTCCATCTGAAAACCAAAACCAGAGTAGCCCCAGCAAGGACTTGATTTAACTCTGAGGACTTATAATCTGTTCACAATCAGCTTTCATAAAGGGTCACGTCCCTACCTTTTTCTGAGTGGAAATAGGTAGACATGGGAGCCTCGTAAGCTCTGGTTCAACTGAGGCATGTTGAATTGGTTGAACTCTGCGTTAGCACAGCCAGGGCAGACTATTCAACGGTGTGGTTTAAAAGCTGTTGGCATGTTGAGTTGATGTTTTCCATGATATGTATGTAACAAAGGCAGAGGTACCCACCCCCTGGACATGATAGGGACAGCCTCTTAATAGACACAAGGTGAAAGGTTGCTAAAAGGCAGGTCATTTTCACCCCCAGATATATCAGTGACTAGCTGGCTTTGCTTTATCCTGAGTAAATTTGGACTGCTTTGCAGATGAGTAAAATCATTGACATTTTCTAAAAGGCTCACAGTGACAGTAGTCGGCTATATTCTCTTTATAGAAAGCTCCTTCCTCTGCCTTCCCAAGAGAAAAGTGAGCCAGCTCTTCAGAGGAGGGAGTATCTTAAACAGATGAGATGGATGAGCTGGGCTCTTGGTTTGCAGCTAATGTCGCTGATCTCTCTCTCAGGAAAAACAGATGACGCAAAGGTATCTGAGAAAGGAAGGCTTTCTCCCAAAGCCTCCCAGGTGAAGCGCTCCCCATCAGACGCAGGCCGCAGCAGTGGCGACGAATCCAAAAAAACCCTCCCCAGCAGCTCCAGGACACCCACTGCCAACGCCAACAGCTTTGGATTCAAGAAGCAGAGTGGCTCAGCTGCTGGTCTGGCCATGATCACGGCCAGTGGGGCCACCGTCACCAGCAGGTCAGCCACGCTGGGCAAAATCCCAAAGTCATCCGCACTCGTCGGTCGGTCTGCGGGTCGGAAGTCGAGCATGGATGGAGTTCCCAATCAGGACGATGGGTACTTGTCCCTCAGCTCCCGAACGAACCTGCAGTACCGGAGTCTGCCGAGGCCCAGTAAGTCCAACAGCCGGAATGGGGCTGGGAACAGGTCTAGCACCAGCAGCATAGATTCCAACATCAGCAGCAAGTCAGCAGGCCTGCCGGTGCCCAAGCTGAGAGAGCCTTCCAAGACGGCCCTGGGCAGCTCTCTGCCAGGTCTTGTCAACCAGACGGATAAGGAGAAAGGCATCTCGTCAGACAACGAGAGCGTGGCTTCCTGTAACTCGGTGAAAGTGAACCCAGCTGCCCAGCCTGTGTCCAGCCCAGCTCAGGCCACTCTCCAGCCCGGGGCCAAGTATCCAGATGTGGCCTCTCCCACACTCCGCAGGTAAGTATGTACATAAACGGTACTGAGCAAAACTGAAATACAGGGAATGGCATCCTGGACTACTAATTTCCTGTTTCTTAGTGAAAGCAGCCTCTGTTTTTCTCCACTTCAGTCCTCCAGTAAAGCTGTTTGGTCTGATGCTGCCAGCAATTTTGGAGTCAACTGATGATTTTCCTATGTTGGGATGAAAAAGCCTCTGGAATCAGTCATCCTGGGTTCAAATCCTGATTCCATTTCAATTAGCTGCCTCGAAACCTTTCTTAACAATTCTGCCTCACTTTTCTCATCTATAAAACGGAGATGTGATAACTTTTCTCAGGGGTTTTGTAAAGATCCACCTTCATAGTCATGTCTGGTCATAGTAAGCACTCAGTAGAAATTAGTTATCATCCAAGATGAGGCAATGATGCACCCTTAAGCCCAAGTGGCAAGTTCAGGAGAAGCAGATAATTTTTTTCTTGTCCTGGTCACTGAGTGTCTTCATTATGGCAGGCAGTGACCTCAGACAGATCCTTACTCAGGAAGCCTGACATCCCCATGTACTTTTTTTTTTTCTTAAAGCAGGATTTATTGAGAGGACAGAAAAGTTCCCACCGTGGGAGAGGACCCGAGGGGGTTGTCCCCCATGTAATTTTTTGTTGGTTTTTGCTTTTTAGAGACAGGGTCTTGCTCTGTTGCCCAGGCTGGTGTGCAGTGGCACGATCATGGCTCATTGCAGCCTTGACTTTTTGGGCTTAAGCGACCCTGCCACCTCAGCCTCCCTAGTAGCTGAGATTAAAGGTGTGCACCCTCACACCCAACTAATTTTTTTTTTTTTTGAGTTGGAGTCTCACTCTGTCGCCCAGACTAGAGTGCAGTGGCTGCTTCCGGTCACCGCAGCCTCGACCTGCTGGGCTCTGGCGATCCTTCTGCCTCAGCCTTCCAAGTAGCCGGAATTACAGGCATGCACTACCACGCCCGGTTGATTTTTTGATTTATTGTAGAGATGAGGTCTTACTGCCCAGGCGGGTCTCGAACCCGCGGGCTCAGGCAATCCATTCACCTCAGCCTCCCAAAGTTGCGGGATTACAGGCTGAGTCACTGAGCCCGGCTTAATTTTTTTTTTTTAATTTGTTTGTAGAGACAGGGTCTCTAACTCCTGGGTTCAAGTTATTATCCTACCTCGGCCTCCCAAAGTACTGGGATTCTAGGCATGAGCTACCGTGCCTGGCCCCTGCATACTTTTTTTATACTACATGCATAATTCCAGGTTCATCTGAAATTTTAGCTTCCTTTATTACAAATAAACCAAAAAAACTCTTAAAGCAGAACTATTTCTGAAATTCAAAAATCGATTTCCTGTTACCTTAAAACAGACATCATTTTCCCACATTTCCACACGGAGTAGAAGTCCCTGATATGAAAATATTGTTCATTGGCTTTTTTAAAAAACAGTTTCTTTTAAAGGTATACAACTTTGCCTATATTCTTGTTATCTCATGGTAACATCCACTGAACCATCCTCAAACTGCAACTGCATAGCTTACAGCTCATCCTGCCTTCCCAGGAAATTTCTTGTCAGAATGAGTAAGTCCCAAGGGTAGAAAATGAAGCAGCGAGAAAATAAAAATTATATGCACAGGCGCATATTTGGGGATGAACAGGAATGTTTGAAAAGACTTCAGAAGGAGCATTCCACATGAAAGGTGTAATGAGGCCGTTCCCTGTTCTTTGTCTAGACTTGATTATTAGAATTTCAGTAATGATTATTTTTTTTCATGGGGAAGGTCTTCTTAGGCTGCTCTTTGTTGTTCTAACAGATTGCCTTGTAAATGAAAGTGTTCTCTGTTTCTTGCCTCAAGTGTTATGTGTAATATTCACTCTTTGGTATTGTAGATTTCCTTTAGCAACTGCAAAAGCACATTACTAGACTCTTAGGCCAGGGTAGCAGAAAACCTGAAATGCACGGAGGTCCTTGGGCTCCCTAGGCTCCACGTGGTTCACCACTCAGCCAATTCCTGGTAGATTACGTTTTGCCGAAATCATTCAAGTGTTCTCAATTATCTCTGTGTGCATGAGTATGGAGAAGAGAAGTTTTAGGTAAAATGTAGGTTGCACTTTTCAAATGATTTGAAGACTAACAGCCAAAAAATTGGACTTTTCCTGTGTAGTTACACATAGCAGAATGAGAAGCAATGTGTACATGTCAGGAAAAGATGGATGAGATTTCGTTCTTCTCACCATTGGAAGTACTTGGCCATGAAGCGAGTTACCTTTGGAGGTAATGAGGTTCCTGTCACTGGATGTATGTAAGCATTCTAAAGCCAAGATTCCACATTAGGATATTTCATTCCCCAGTTGTCACCAGGCAAAAAGATTTTCTCCTCTGTCACCAGACACCATAGTAAGGATTGATTGGTTGGTTCGTTGTCTGTCTTTATAATAACTGAGATTCGTAGGGCTGTTTGGAGGGAACAGAGATCAAACTCACACCACTCTGAGAGAAAGGCCATCTTCCTGTCAGAATATGTAGAAGTTATGCCTCTTTGCAGAGATACTTTTTCTACATGGGTTTTAGTAGGTGGAATAAAGCCTGTGCATTTCTGGAATGTGGACCTTTACTCCGATGTTAAGACATTTCCACCAATCTACCAGACAGCTCTCTGCCAGTGGAAGAGGGGGTATTTGTGGCATCCTTTCTAGTCTGACGGCACAGTTTTGGGCAGGGGAGATGACATGGAATGACTTTTCTGTGTTTCCATCATGGGAACACAGTTCATGCCCAGTGTTTCTGGTTTGATGTCTTGTGAACCTGGCAAGATTTCTATGTATGTCATTGGATAACTCCAGTTCTCTGGCCCTAAAAGATGCATCTTTCAGATCGGGCTTTCTGTTGATGATATCACTGGGGCGGTAATTTCCCAGATCTAGACTCGTGTTCTTGATTCTGTGTGTGGTGCTTAGTGATCAAAGAATCCAAATCCCTTGGCACCGATCTGTTGAAGTTGATTAAGACAGCTCTTTGGCCAGGCTCGGTGGCTCAGCCTGTAATCTCAGCATTTTGGGAGGTCAAGGCGAGTGGATTGCCTGAGCCCGCGGGTTCGAGACCAGCCTGGGCAACTTGGTGAGACCTCGTCTCTACAATAAATAAAAAATGAGCCGGGTGTGCTAGCGCGCGCCTCTAGTTCCAGCTACTTGGAAGGCTGAGGCAGAAGGATCACCGGAGCCCAGCAGGTCGAGGCTGTGGTGGCCGGGAGCATGCCACCAGTCTGGTGACAGAATGAAACCCCAACTCAAAAAGAAAAAAAAAAGACAGCTCTTCTCCCTCTGGATATTTCCTGGGCCAGGGCAATTTTGTAGTTAGTCTATTTAAAGAAAGAAAAGGAAGCAAGGTCTTGGAACAGCATGGAGAGACCACAGAAAATGACTCCCCATCGTCCTTTGCCTCGGACAGAACCAGAGCTTCAGCTGCAGCCTAGACCTTGAAGCCAGCACCCTGTGATGCACCCAGGGTCCAGCCGGCTCTGTGCCGATGTTTCCCCATGGAGTGCCCATGGTCATCTCAGTAAGATGGCTGTGCCACTCCCCAGGGATTCCCCACCCCTGCACCCCACCCATCTTTAACAGTCAGATGCCCCTTGGCACTGGGCATTCATTCCACACAACCCTTTGTCTCTTACAGACTCTTTGGTGGAAAGCCTACCAAGCAAGTGCCCATCGCTACAGCTGAAAACATGAAAAACTCAGTGGTCATCTCCAATCCTCATGCCACCATGACCCAGCAAGGTAATCTAGACTCACCGTCAGGCAGTGGCGCCCTGAGCAGCGGGAGCAGCAGCCCTCTGTACAGTAAGAACGTGGACCTCAACCAGTCTCCGCTGGCCTCCAGCCCCAGCTCAGCCCACTCGGGACCCTCCAACAGCCTCACCTGGGGCACCAACGCTAGCAGCTCCTCGGCAGTCAGCAAGGATGGCCTGGGCTTCCAGTCCGTTAGCAGCCTCCACACCAGCTGCGAGTCCATCGACATCTCCCTCAGCAGCGGGGGCGTTGCCAGCCACAACTCCTCCACCGGCCTCATCGCCGCATCCAAGGACGACTCCCTGACTCCCTTTGTTAGAACCAACAGTGTGAAGACCACACTGTCAGAAAGGTTGGTGCGGTGCCTCTGGCTGCCTTTCTTTCAGAAAGACACCCTTCTGAAAGTAACAAGCTGAGGTTAAGGAATCTCACATGTCCACCACCTCTGCCTGTGCGATTCCTCACTGATGACTGCTGTCTTTCGTGGGACAGTTTGGGATGGGATGGAGCTTGGCTCTGCTTCTTGTCTTTTTCTCTGTGATTATTCTTGGTGCTTAGAGCTCCTGGAAGCCTCTGGAGGGACAGGTTTATGCTACCACTGGAGATGGCTTTCAGCCTCTGAAATCCTCCCATTTTCTTCTGGTGTTCATTGACGGCTTCGTTTCCCTCCCCTTGTGATGGTCCACACAGGGCAGGTGGTGGGTGCAGCCATGGAGTGCATGGGAGAGTGCTTTAGGAAGCTGGGTAGATCTTGTGGCCACGTGGCAAATACCCTCCTACTGGCCATCATGATAGGAACTCAAGAAGCTGAGTGTCCTCAGACCCCTGGGCTTCACTGCAGTAGTGACATGTATCCAGTTTCTACACATGGGGATGCAAACTGGGGTCCATGTGGGGAACCAGAAGCACGTTCTAATCATTGTGTATGACAACACTTCTCCTTTCTTCCAAGCTAATGTTGCTTCTCTTGTTTTCTACCTGTCTGGATTTCTAGCCCTCTCTCTTCCCCTGCTGCTAGCCCTAAGTTCTGCAGAAGTACTCTGCCCAGGAAACAGGACAGGTAATGACACCGTGGGCCAGGGACCTACCGGGCCCCTAGGTTCCTCTGCCCTCCCGTTGTCAAGCCAGATGTCTTGTGTGAGGCTGTTGGTCTGAGGCTTCCGCTTGTGTTTGTGGCGCTAGTGTACTCTGTGACGTGCAGACATGCCAGTGAGGGGCAGTTCTGCTGTCTGCTAAGCCTGGAGAGGTGGAGGATTGGGCCAATCCCGTTGCTCCTGCTTTGGGAAGGTGCCCTCAAACCCGCCACTTGGCGGGGGCAGTGGACGCCCTCACTCGGCATCTCCTGTGGCATGTTCTCGCCTTCCAGCTTCCTCCCCTTCCTCTCCCTCCTCCAAGCCCAGAACCATCTACCACCTACCGTGCGACTTGGCCCTGACCTTTGCCTCCCCCTCTCCCTTCCCTCACGCAACCTGCTCTCCTCCCTTTCGAAGTTCTCTGCTTCAGTTTGGCTCCTGTGTCTTGCAGACTGTTGTGCTCTGTGTGCCCATTTCCTGTACTGATCGTGAAAAAAAAAATGTGTTAAGACTTGACAAACGAAGATGCTTGTGTTTGCCCCCAGCTGTGGGTGGGCTGCGGAGATGGACACTGACTTTAAATTTGTGGGGGAGTGATCACTTGGCCAAACATAACAAGCAGATGTTGTTTCGTGCTAGGGGAAAAAAAAAAGAAAACCTCTTCATCCCATCAACAGCAAAAACCTTGCTTTTGTTACTTTCATAAGCCAAGCCTTTAAACCCTTGTTCTTTGGAAATCCAAGTACCTTCACTTGATCAGCCAGCAGGTTGTAACATGCCCTGACTTGGGCCCAGGCCTCGGCTCCTAGCTACACCCGACGAGGGCCGCAGAAATCGAGAGGGACCTGGAATTCACTTCTTACAGATGAATTCCAAATATGCAGACTGCTGGCCTCTTGACACCTCCAGCCAGTCCCTTCTCCCACTTGAAGTCATTGCCTGTGGGCCTTTGGGGGTGGGCCAGAGGTAGGGGTGCAGAAGCTGGCATCCCCTCTTTCCGGAAGCAGTGGTGGGGTGCAGAGAGGGCCACTGGGCAGCAGAAGGAACAGACTCGCTTTGAGCCCTGAGCTTTGCTTTGAACTTGTGGAAAAGGAAGAGCAATTGGGGTTGAGCCACTCAGACCTCCTGGGACTCAGGGTGAGGTATGCACTGGTGTCGGCTCAGGCCGCAATGTCGGCTTCTTTGGTTTTCTATGGATGTGTTGCATGCGTGGCTGGATAAGGGAGCACGCCCTGGTGATGCAAGTCCCTTCTCCAGGGTCCTTTAAGCCCCTTCCCTTGCTCCCTTCTCCGCATTCCCTGCCTTTCCTGCGCTTCTCTGAAGTTCTTATTTTTTGTTTTAACTTTCCCACAGTGACCCGCACCTTGATAGGAACACTTTGCCTAAGAAAGGACTCAGGTATCTGTGTTTCCTTCTTGCATCCATGCCATCTGTCGTGGCTTTGGAGCTTGGCTGTGTGGTCTCTCATGGCTGGTGGGGGTCTGGGCTGGGGTCCCCGCTTTGACCACCGCGGCAAGACCCTTTGGATGATGGCTCCCCTCACACCTCTCTTTCTCATCTCCCCATTTGTTGGCTTCTTTGCTTGAGCAGGAACTGTGCTTTTTTGGGCTTATGTGGTAAAACCATCTCATGAAACACATCCCTGGGCAAGGCCACAGAGTAGTTGCTGCTGCTTCTGGGGCCAGTGGGTTTAACCTCTGAGCACTTCACCATGACCATCCTGTTCACAAGGCTGTCTTCCAAGTGAAAGCACATGACTTATAGCATGCTGATCTGTTCACTAGGACAGGCGCACAGGAGGAGAAGAGTATTTCCTCCAAATCTGAAAATATTTTGGGGGGTCATAAAAACTACTAACGGTATAATTTGTACTTGTTTAAATATTCTACTCAGAAGTTCAATGCCCAACAAGACATGGGTGTGACCATTTTTTGGTGAATATAAAGACTACAGGAAGGGATGTCCTCTCAGCCCTAGTGAGTGGTGGCTTGGGCTCATTTTTGGTGCCAGTCCTGGTAAAACAAGATGCTATAAGTCACCATCGCTCACACCATCTGCATCACTTTGCCACCCAGAGGAACTGCAATTTGCTGACACCTCCCCCATGACCTCACTGTCGTATGAGCGTGGCTGTCATTTCTCCTGCTTTCTAAATACCTTGCTCTCTGTAGCATCGATTCACCTTGCACTAAGCATTAAGTGCTTCTGCATAAAATGGAACTTGGAATGAGATGTTTCGTTGCTGTCGTGTATGTCTATAGTTAATAACCTGCAGCTCTTAAGAGTGAGAGCATTTTTGAACTGTAACATGAGGTAGGTATCAATGTGTCCTTTCAATAGGAGCTCCGAGGAAAGCCAATTCTAACAATCTAAGAGGGAGAGTATTAAAGTCTCCCAACAGATGTCCCTTGGGAGGGAGTCCAGTGGTGGGGACGTAGAGGGAGCTTTGGCAAGGCTTTTTGTATTTACCAGTTTCCACTCTGCCTGTGAGGACTGCTTGTCCAGCCACCATGCCATGGCCTTAAATGATGGCCACTCTTAATAGAAGTTTTACTTGAATGTCCCATGGGTGCCCTAAGAATAAGCTAACCTTAGGTTAGCTTAAGTTACTTACATAGTAACATCTTTGACATGATGTATATATAACTGAAGTAGAGCTTTCCTATCAAAATTACATAGCTCTGACTTTTTAAAATTGGTTTTCAAAAAATTCCAGGGTAGGGATATATGACAGGCTACTTTCAGGCCATTGATGTGTCCTAGAAAGTTGCCTGTCTGTCGACTATCGTAACAACATGAGGGAAGAAACATCTTTGCATTCCCTAACTCCCTTCCTCCGTACACAGGCACATCCTGATACAGCTTCTGTTAAGCCCAGAGAAGCCCTCTATTTGTGTACCCCATGGTACATAAGTCCAGCGATACCCTGGCCACTCGCCTGTTGGCATAATGAAAGGAGCATGGGTTTTGGAATCAGACATACATGGACTGAACTCTCAGCTATGTGATGCAAAGCAGGGTCCTTACATTCCCTGAGTATAACATGGGAATCAGAGCATCTGCATTGCTGAGTAGGTCTGAGGCTTTGGACAGGTCATGTCCATGAGGCACCCAGCACACACTGTAGATGTTCAATAAATCATCACCAGGTATGGTTGAGAATAAAGGAGGGGACAGACCACATAACTTCTGAAAACCCTCTGCTTTAAAACCTGATAGTTTGGGGTCCCTTTTGTGAAGGTGTGTGGATGCTCTGTTGCAGCAACTACCATGAGCATCCATGTCCTCTGTCCTTCCCTTAATGACCACCCTCTCACGTGCTGTGATTTATGGCCACTGATTTGTGCTGGAGAATGCAGATGCTGTGAGTTATCTCATTAAAACATTCTCAGAGCTCTAACAGCAGCTTATTTTGTTGTTTCAGTCCTGTCAAGGCAGGGGCTTCCACATGACACTGTCATGAATCAACACGTACAGATACGCCCATGACAGCTCTTTTGAGCATTCACCCATCTTCTTCCCTTTATGAGTTCCCTCCAAATTGAGAGGAATTGGCATTTTCCCCAAATGCTGCCAAGTAGAAAAAAAGTTTAAAGAAACTTCATACGTTTGGGGGTGTGTAGTTATCTGATTTTTTTTTAAAAAATCATCTATATTTACCATCAGCTCCATGGAGTTCGTTTTCATCTGTGTTGTGCATAGTGCATTTCAGTTTGATTTCTGTCTGTTCAGGTATACTCCCACCTCCCAGCTTCGCACGCAAGAAGACGCAAAAGAATGGTTACGGTCCCACTCTGCAGGAGGCCTGCAGGACACTGCTGCCAATTCCCCCTTTTCCTCTGGCTCCAGCGTGACTTCCCCCTCTGGAACAAGATTCAACTTTTCACAGCTTGGTGAGTAGCCACTTGCCCTTAGTCGTCCATGCTGATCAGCTCTGTAGGGCAGAGGTTATCTCATGTTTCATAATAGACGTGTGTAACACCCCTCTCAGTATCTGATCAGCCCTCAGTAATGTAGTTTGATTACAGGAAATTGGTTGCCAAAGACAGAGAGAAAATAGCCAAGTTCCTTGAGACGGTAATCAATAATTTTCTTTACGTCATCCCATTCCTTAGAAGAATGTTTTCAGTGTCTAAGACCTCTGAAGAAGTAGGTTTTATGGCATATCCTGTGTTGGCTCACTCTCAGCTTTTTTAAACTGTAAATAAAAATTTAGTGTTCTTAGAAATGCCTACTGCTGACAGAATGCTTTGGCTGGCACAGTGGGAGAAGGAAAAGAATTCGTGACACAGTCCCTGCTGACGTGCCAGTGACTTCTTTTCTAGAGAGACAAACACACCCGTGCAGACCCTCAAAATCAGGTAGAAGAGAACACTCCAAAGCTTTATGTGAAACCACGTAAAAACCGAATATCGTCGGATGGCAAGCATTATACACAATCGAAAGGAAAGATCAGTGCTGGCTGGAATCATTGGCGGAGGTTTCGTGAAGGAGGCAGGATGGGAGCTGAGCCTTGGAGGACTGGGGTCGGGGGAGACCTTTGCCCGTTTCATCTTGTTCTTTGGAAATGCAGCATTTTCTGAATATTGTGAATAATAAGTTTAGAGTCTTTAAGCATTTGTGTGGTTTGTAATCAAATGAGGTCAAGTTCTTTGTCCTTCTGAAGACAGTGTATGTTACTAAAACGGGCAGAATTTTCATCAGGAAGCTAGTTTGAGCTAAGACAAATGTGCCCCCTTTGCGTGGAAGCTCTCTATACAGCATTATTAAACGTTCCCGGTCCAAGGCTAGGAGACCTGTGTTCGTGTTGTTCTTTCCCAGCCGTAACTCTTTGAGGCAAGAGATTCCTGTCATGCACAAATGCTTCCCATCTGATCAAAAGCCTCATTGGACTATTTTGGGCTTTTGGCTTTAGAGAAAATCGTTCCAGATGAGCCTGGGGAGTAATTAGCTCATGCCTGGAAGGTGACACTGGCCTGTCTGAACGTGCCAACTTGGAAAGCCGGGGCCCAGAGCCTTGCTTTGGAGCTGACCCGCCTTTCCACTCTTATTTTTAGCTCTCAGTGCGTAGCTCAAATGCTGATGTGACTACCTTTCAGAAAACAGACAGGGGAGAGGAGTTGGCAGGAACACATATGACTGACGAGAGGCAGTTGCCTCTTGTCCCCATGCAGGGTTTGAACAGAGACATGAGCTCCCAACCTTTTGATTCCGTCTCTTTCATTCCAGCAAGTCCCACCACTGTCACCCAGATGAGCCTGTCCAACCCGACCATGCTGAGGACCCACAGCCTCTCCAATGCTGACGGGCAGTACGACCCCTACACTGACAGCCGCTTCCGGAATAGTTCCATGTCCCTGGACGAGAAGAGCAGAGCCATGAGTCGATCAGGCTCCTTCCGGGATGGGTTTGAGGAAGGTAAGGAGGGAGACTCGGCCTCTTCCAGGTGGTGGCTCCGTGTGGTGAATGGTCCTCCATGCTAAGTTCACTTCGTTGACCTGAGAGCCTACCTGTCGGTGCCGCCAGCGCGCCTCCCTCCAGGGGATCAGGGATGGAGAACTTTGAAGAGTAAGATCTGACCCTTAATTAACCTTTCAGGAAGAGGCTGCTGAAAAAGCACTGGTGAACCGTAGAGCTTCCCGAATTCCGCTCTAGGCTTCTCGTGCCTGGACTTGGGCCATAGCTTCTTGGCATGCACCACCATCTGGAGGTTCTGCCACTGGCTCCCCATCTTGGCAGAGAGAGCTCCTAAGGAGTTCGTCTCCCTGTGCTGACACACCCGTGTGGCTCTGGGCTGCTGTGCCTCTGTGCTCTGTTCCAGAATGTTCTATCTCTTTTCTCAGGCACCAGTTTGTTGTTTATTGTATTCACTTATTCCCTTACTTTTCTTTGGTTACTGACTGGATATCTTGAGTTGGATTTTTTTTTTAATTGGAGTCTTACTCCATCGCCTAGGCTGGAGTGCAGTGGCATGCTCACGTCCACCCCAGCATTGACCTGCTGGGCTCCTGCAATCCTTCCTCCTCAGCCTTCCAAGTAGCTGGAACTACAGGCATGTGCTACCACGCCCGGCTCATTTTTTGGATTTATTGTAGAGATGAGGTCTCGCCAAGTTGCCCAGGATATTCTTGAACCTATGGGCTCAGGCAATTCTCTCACCTCAGCCTCCCAAAGTGCTGGGATTACAGGCTTGAGCCACCACGCCCGGCCTTGGGTTGGATTTTTATGTTTTGTTCACTCTAGTCAGAATCATGGGAGAAAGTTCTGTGGGTGACCTTGTCAGCCATAATCATAACTCATTTCATTTTTCTTCCCAGGTGTTCCTTCACCTGTGGTGTGAGTTAGGGGAGTAAGCAGCCAACATTCTGTGGGGGACATCTCCCCCACCCCCACAAAGTTGGGGCTGATAGGACATTGGAGGCAGTGCTCATTGACCAGTGATTAAAAATGTGGAGTTAAGCTGGCAGAGTGTGAATTCCAGCTCCACCTCTTCTTGGGTATATATGGTCTTGGGCAAACTGCTTTGCCTCTCTGTGCTTCTGTGTTTTCACTGATAAAATAGGAGTAGTAATAGTTTTCGGCTCATGGTATTATGAGATTTAAATGAGATAATGCATATAAATGTTAACTCAATAATGCTATTACATGTCATAGCCTATAATAACACAGCTATAAAGCTATAATAACAGAGCTGTAGAAACACAGTTTTAGCACTGGCTTCCTGGAGGCACCAAGTTCTCTGCCAGGGGATGGGGAATCTTGTAGCAAATGGAGCTGAGACCAAGGACCATACCTCTGGTTGAGGCTTGCTTTCCATTGACAAACTAGAACATGGAGGCCACTCAGAGGTGCTTCCCAGCCCCTCCGAGAGTGGGGAAATATAGCCAGCATCCTCCCGACAGGAATCAGTGAACCAACCTGTGATTATTTAGGAAATCCCAAATCAAAAGGGAGAGAAATTCAAGATACAGGCTTCTGCTCTTGCCGAGTGTTCTTTTGCACAAAGGTTTTAAGGAATTTGACTACTGAGCAGTTGCTCCATGGTTAATCTTCTTGGAGACTTAATACTCTCTCCCCTGATTTATGTATCATTTGCATCCAGTGACATCCAGGGAGCAGACTCAAGTCTGTAAATCCATATATGGGAACCTGCGGGGACAGAGGATTAAGGAGAGGAGGAGCGTGAGTTACTGAGGGGGTTTTGCAAGATTTAAGAGCTGGAAAGTAATGCTCTGGCCGTTCAGAGCAGGACTGGGGAGGATATATGTGATCCTGAGGTGAGAGAGGAGATGGCTCATCCCATGCTGGCTAGGCATGACCCCGGAGCATCTCCTGGCCTCCTGATGAGGACTTGTGTGTGGCGTTTGTCCTGCACTGTAGTCCTCTTCTCTGTCATGTGCATACCTGGGTAAGCCACGTTCAGTACGAAAACCTGTCCAAACAAGCACACTTCACCTCATGAAGGTCCTGAGTTGTGACAGTATCATCATCAGATAGTTTTTATTTATTCCATCTGGAATCAAGCAGGCAGGCAACACAACTGTGGAATATCTGGGATGTCAAAATGACATTGATAAAAAGAACTTGCCCACAAGGAGTGTCTAGACTTTTGTAAACCAGTGATTCATGGGGACCTGGAACTGAAGCACACAGGTAGAAATCAAACTTTGGGGAACTGCTAACAATATGCTGGGAACATATAACATTTTCATCTTTGGGAAATTTGGCGTCAGATTGATTTTATCTCTTCTAAGACTATTGCGTTACAAAAACAAAATAGGGCTTGTGTATTAGGATTTTCAATTCCTTTGTGTAAAGACTTTTTTTTCTTTTGAACGTACAAACTCCCAGGGTCACAGGAAAGAATTCACATCTCATGTTAAAGCTAAGTAGAATCTCCTTATAAGAATCAATTCGGTGTATTGCATGCTATAAAACAGAATAGAAATTTACGAAGAATTAGCCCAAGCATTAGTGTGAGTTTTTGTGCAATAAGCATGTTCCGTTTTGAAGGAAGTAGGAATAATAAATATGCAGATTAGGTGCAGGCAAGGCCCAAATGCAGCCTTTCAGAGTTATTTCAGGTAAATTAATTTCCATTAGATGCGTTATGCAATCTTAAAGTCAACTTTAATAGCCTATATTTGGGGGAATGCGTGAGGCATTTTTAAAGTAATTGTCTGGGGGAAAAAAAATCCCCATGACTTTACCAGCCATCACTAAGAGCTCCTGCAACCAAAAACACAGTTCCTGTGATCTCCAGCAGTTTAGCAAGGAAAACTGGTACTACAGCTCACTGTGTTTTAAGCCCCCGACTTACAGTTGAGGTTAATATTCTGTTAACCTTGTGACTTGGGGAAGGGACTTGCCCCTGCCCAGCCTGTTTCCTGCTCACTAAAATGTGGAAAAAATTGTGCCTGCTTTGGAAGACTGAAGTGAGACTAGGTTAGATAAATCCTGGAAAGCATTTAGCAAATAACTTTGGAAGGAGTATATTCTAAGTACTCACTCAATGGTAACTATTGTTAGAGTTGTCATATTATATCCTTCTCCTCAAGGGCCATTATTATCCCCCCTTTTTTTTAAATAGCAAAACTGAGACAGAAGTGACTTGAAGACTCTGTAGCCAGAACGATATCTAAGCCACCTGATTCCCAGCTACTATCTTTCTACCCAATTCTGCTTTCATGTTTGGCTCAGCTGGTTTTTGTTTTGGTTTTGGGGTGTTTTTTTTTTAACCTGTCCTGGGCAAGTTCTGACCCTTCGTCAATGTATCTCTGTTTGGCAAAGTTTCCTTTGCTGGTGGAGAGGCAGGGCAGGCCGTTAGCCTTCAGGACGTCGTCTCCTTCTCCCTGGCCTTTCCATGGGACGGGGACCTAGAGTGTGATGCATTTCTCGCTCTGCTCCTGGCTAGCTGTGTATACTTGGCCATGATACTTAACCACTCTGGACCTTCATTTACTCTTGCTAATTGAGGGTGAAAAAATACCTGCCTAAGGCCAGGTGTGGTGACTTATGCCTGTAATCCCAGCATTCTGGGAGGCAGACGCAGGAGGATCACTTGAGCCCAGAAGTTTGAGACCAGCCTGGTCAATATAGCAAGACCTCATCTCCACAAAATAAAAAAATTAGCAGGTATGGTGGCACTTGCTTATAGTTCCAGCTACTTGAGAGGCTGAGGCAAGAGAACCGCCTGAGCCCAGGAGATTGAGGCTGTAGTGAGCTGTGATCATGCCACTGCAATTTAGCCTGGGTAACAGAGTGAGACCTTGACTCAAAAAAAAAAAGGGAAAGGAAAGGAAGGAAGGAAGGAAGGAAGGAAGGAAAAAAGAAAATGCCTGCCTGGTGCAGGATTGTTACCTGCAGGTTCTCTATGATGATGAGGGTCAGAGGCACTTGATTGCTTTATTGGCTAAAATATGCCCAGTTTTCACACTACCTTGTAGTTTCATTTCAACCTAAAGCATCTTCTCAAACATCAATCCTGGCTCATGCCTGGTATAGATTGCATGAGGGGAATAGAGAGTCATTCAAAAGACACCAAAAGACTTTAAAAATAAAATATAAAATAAACCAGATCACTCAAAGGTGGAGCGGTCTCCACACTTATGGTCAGTAGATCCTGTTCTTGAATTGCTGTGGAACCTTAGGCAAGCCATTTAACCTCTCTGAGTTTCAGATTCCTCAGTGGCAGAGATAATCTAAATATTCTCTGTGGTGTCCTTGTAACTGAAAAGTTTTGGAGGCACGGATACAGGGATGAAAATTACATGGTGCACTTGAGCTGTCTTGGCTCTGTAACTTTCATAAGCATGTTGTCTGAAAGTATCCACGCTGTATAACCCAGCTCTAACTTGGCCCAATTCACTTGAAGGAGGCCAGCTGCAATGGTTCAGGCAGGCCGTTTTCAGTTTTGGGTCAACTCTGGAAATCAAGGAATCTGTTTCTTTGGAACACAGCCTTGCCTTTGCTACTTGGCAAGTGAGGGGAGTTAATTACAGAGGAGAATTATTACCTCTACTTCGAGCCTGCCAGATGTGCTCTTCTCTGCCTGTGGCCCCACGCTTGCACTGAGCTGTTGCTGAAACTGTGTAAGTTTGTGTGTTTGGGATGAAGAAATAGAAAACACTTCCATTTTCCAGCCAGTCAGAGGCTATGCAGCAGCCCTGGGCAGGCCCCTGCCACCGGCCTCTGGCAGGACAGTCATGCATGTGTGATTGAAGGGTGGTTGCGTGTTATCCAGACCCTTCACCCCATCTTGGCCTCCAGTGTATCCCTCCACTGTGGTCTGTGTCATAGAGGTGAGGTAACTAACCTCTTCTGAAACATGAGGTCACGAGGTTGGGGCATTAGAAACCTCTGGTCATGTGTGAGCATATTAACCCCAAAAGTCATTATTGGCCATTAACACCTTAAGCTGATTGTTTTATGGAGCATGGGTCAGATTAGTCATGGATGGAGGAAGAATGGAAGAAAAGATCTAGAATGCAGGGCATGGCTAAGGAAAGGCATGTAAGTGACGGGGCAACTTGAGGGCCCTCAGTGCCTACAAAGAGGGAAGAGGGCTGGGCTGCCAAGTTGTGGGTGATGTGGGTTCAGAGGAAGGAGGAAGCCCGCTTGGTGGCAGTCAGGCAAAGGAGGATAGGCTCCCTGGGGAAGACGTCATCCGAGCAGATCTGATTTGGATCGGCCACATCGAGCTGTATTGTAAACAGAGAACTGCATGGGCAAAGGCTAAGGTGGGAAATGACTCCTGGGGCATGCTTGGGAGAGAGGTGCAAGTTCACTGTGTGATGGGAACACTTCAAGGAAGAAGGAGAGTTCAGGCAAGGTTTATTGGAAAGACACTGAAGAGAACCCGAGCTGCTCCTTGGATCATCTTGGCAGGTGGTTTCTGCCAGCGGCTCGTCCAAGGTAAGTTTGCTTCTTGGGTGGTAGGCGAATGCTGTTTCAGACACGTGGAAAGTTCCTCCCAAGCCTCCCACTTTCCGCCTGCAGGTTATAGCACAGCGTGGGAGAAGAGGCATTCCACCTGGGGTCAGGAAAACTGTGCCCAGTTAAAAGGCCTGTGAAGTCTTGACATTGGACTATTTGTGTCTTTCAAACAAGTTGGCAAGAGGCTACCAAGAAAGTAAAGACGCTAGTTCCCAAAAAGTGAAGGCAGCTAGAATACTCAGTCCAAGAAAAGACCGTGATTTAAAATTAGAAGAAATAATAAAATGTCTCCACAAGAATGCTGTAAAGGTACCCAAGGGTGTAATTTTCTAGTCAAAAAGTAGCAGTCTGAAACAGAAAGAAGAACAACACTTACTTGTCACTTGGTGTACATAATGGAAATCTAATAAAGAATCTATATTTTGGTGGGTATGTTTTCTGCTTCATGGCCATCTAGCATGAACTTATTGTGGCCAGCAGCCTGTTAGGTTCAAAATAATCAGCTTATCTTTTTTGCATATGCAAGTGACAGATTACTAGCGAGGTAAAAAATAGGTATTTAGCACAATCTGAACCCTAAAGGACTACAGAAGAAAAAAGAGTGGAATAAGATATGCTGGAACAGTAACAGGTTGCCTCAGGGTGATAGAATTGTGAGTCACTGCAGGTTATGACAGTGAATATCTTCTTAACATTTCTCTGTACTTGCAAATTTTTGTTCAGGGTATCCTATATTATTTTGATAGGGAAGAAAAAAAGTAGTTTGAAGGTTGTAAGGGGGGAAAATGGGGTAATGGAAAAGTGACTTCCTTAACAAATTGTTCTTTGTCACAGACCTGTCACCAAACCAGGAAAGGCTGGGTTAACGTGAGATTGTCACTCCAAGCCTGGTTCCTATGATGCTCATTTCCTCTCCTTCTCCCCTTTTTGGTTCCATAACAGCCAGCTGTGCAATTTACCTTTTTTTTTCTGCTTTTAATAGTTCATGGATCCTCGCTCTCCTTGGTTTCCAGCACATCGTCGATTTATTCTACAGTGAGTATAAATCAATGCTGTGTGGCTGTGATCATGAGAGCTGGCGTTCCTGTATCAGATGTGTCAAGAATAAAATATAAACATTTCTCCCAGAGAAAGCATTCTCATTGTAAGCAGATCAGTTAATTAGGGAACAAGATTTGAGATTCACAAACAGTCATTCATTATATCGTTCCAATCAAAAAGTCAGGAACTGGCTGCTTTCTTAAAGGGGTGCTGTGCTTTGGGTGGTAACTAGTTAGAATATGCGGGAAGCCTTGGCCATCTGCTGGTAGACTTGGAAAAGTCTTGAGCAGTTTATTAATCCTTCGTCTGCCTCAGTTTCTTTATCTGTGAAGTAGAAATAAGGAGCAGTTCCTTCCTTATGGAGTAGTAGTGAGAATTAGATGTTATGAAGGTTACATTTTAGTACAATATAAACTCCTTGAGGACAAGGACTTTCTGTGTTTATTCCTAGTGCCTAGAACAGTGCCTAGCACCTAGTAGGTGTTTAAAAAAAATAGGTTTGAAAGAAGTAAGAAAATGAAGGTAAAGCGAGGACTGTGGTATGCACAGCTCAGAGTAAGCAATCCTAAATGCTAACTGTCATCAATGAGAGCTTTACTGAACAAAAGCCAGATGTCATCAAATGCATTTGTATTTTAAATACTACTGAATTTGTTTAACACTAACTTTTTATAGCTATATACTATCCTAAAATCACTAGTTTGGAAATTCCTACAGGAAAAAAAAAACCCTTTGTTAATTGTGAATTGGAAATTCTTCAGATCTTAAGCATGGAAACAACGTCTTAATACTTAGGTTTTCATCATGCCAGGGTTCTGGTCTATAAGCAGAAGGAACTGTATGTAACCCCTTGAAAATAAGACCATCCCAGAATCAAACTAAACAGACCAGGGTCTGATGGCTCTTTTTAGGCCTATAGTGAGCAACTAGATATCACTGGTGATCGCTGACATGGTCTGTTTTATAGGATCTAGAAACTCGCGCTTACTGCCCCTACCCACTTCACTCCTCCAACTCCGAAATTCCTCTTTCCTCAGCTAGTCATATAGTCTGAAATGGTATCACCAAGTCCTAATTTTCTTTTAAAGGCTTTATATAGAGTAACCTTGGGGAGGAGCTATCTAAGCCATTATCTAGTAAGAAAGCTCACCTCACACTGAGGGTGGTCCCTTATCTATTATTAGCTTCTTGGTGATGATGAAAGGTGCTCTAGGCACCTTTGTAAATGTTAAGGTGAACAAGTCCTTGTTTGTTGTCTAAAACGAGATCCTTGGAATCTCTTAAGTTGCCCAGACCCAAACCAAGGAGTCTGCTTAACAGCTGAGAGTTTGAAAGGCTCTTATGGGATGGGATGGCAAGTTCTTACTTGAAATCTCTGTAATTTTTGGATATTCAAGAATGCTCATTCTAGCTGAAATTTGCCAGCAATTCTAATTACAAATGAAAGAAAAGATTACATGATGCTAAATAATTGTCATGGCCAGCCCTCGGAGGAGGGAAAATCTAAGAGGCCACCCCTGGCTTCAGGGCTGGCTTTCGTGGTTGGTAGGGAGCAGCTGAGATCCCAGGGGCGCTGCTGAATGGACAGCGGCCCGCAGCTTCACACAGTGTTCCCAGATGTGCAGAAGAACAGCAGCAGCTGGGGCAAGATGCAAAGCACATGATTTCTCTAGGCTACTGTCGATAATAGGGGCCCAACCCCAGAGACACGTGGGCACAGTGATAGTGGCAGAGACACAGGGAAGGGCTGTGAAGATCTGTCTGTTGATGGGACCATATGGCTAGTTCAGCCTGCTGACAGGTCTCCACTGGCCTCTCAAATGTTAAATAACAACATTAACTTTTCTCCTTTGGATCAGACTCAGAAGTCAGGGCCCTTATTTCTGGAATGTCTCCATGAGAAGGTAGCTCTAAAAAAAGAACAGGAGATCGTGCTGATTAAGATCACAGGCTTTGGAGCCAGACTGCCTCGAATCCAATCCCGGCTCTACCAACTGTGACCATGGGCAAATTACTGAACCCGTGCCTCAGTTTCCTCATATGCAAAACAAAAAGCAACAGTGTTAGTACCTACTCAAAGGGTGTTATAAAGATTCGGTGAATAATGAACGTGAAGTACTTGGAGCAGTCTCTGGCGTGTGGTAAGCATTCAATAAAGACTAGCTGTTATAACCAGAATGTCAGAGGCTTGGCTGTATTCACAGCTTGTATCCTAGGTTCTAAAAACAGTGCCTGGCACACAGTAGAACATCAATACATATTTGGTAGGTGGTGAGGATGGATGTATGGATGGATAGATGACAAAGAGGGATGGGTGAATATTATCTAGGAGGGAAGAGTGAGCCCTGAGGACATCTTCCAACCTTCTCCTGAGTGTTTCTAGGGAAAGAGATTGTTCAGCTGTGTGACCTTAGGCAAGACCTGTAACCTCTCTGAACCTCAGAAGGTATAGAAACAAAACTACTTAATGGTGTTTCTGCAAGGGTTACATGATTTGGCCCCCTCTATTTAAAAATTAGGAGCCAGCCTGGAGGGCAGGGGGCTCTTGAGCAGGATTAGGAGGGAGGGCAGTGGGGAGCACAAGGTGAAGGGAGATCAGACAGGAAGCAACTGCCCACCTGCTTCGACAGGTGGGTAAGGGGTCTGTGGTGTGAATCTTCCAATGCCTTGGATTCTGACCTGATAAAGTAGACACTCCTGTACTAAGAATCAGAAGTTGGTTTTTTTAAGTAATGGGTTTATCCTCAGCAGGGATCCAAGGACAAGACAGGGTTCTTACTGATGTCCTCTCACCTACCTGGTTCCTCTCACTTCTCCATCACTGGGGAAATTGGAGTGATAGGGAAAAGGGCAGAAACCCTTCCACATTCCCAGGGATGGGGGTGGGCTCTTCTTTATGGGACCCCTGGGAACCAGAGGAGAGGGAAAGAAAAATTCCTCCCCAACAGGTTCCCCCAACCCATGTGGGTCCCTCCAGTGGGAGAAGAGAGGTAGTCATATAGTTTCCAGCTGGTAGGGACCGTGTCACCACAGACACAGAGCCGGCATGGAAGGCTGGGCCAGTAAGAGGCAACAGGGATCACCCTTGCTCCTCAGGGTCACAAGTGATTGGGGGACTTGAGCTGGGATAGCAGGAAGATGAATCCACATTTATCCTTACAACCTGTGTGGGGGCTCCCAGCCCCCCTCACTTTGAGGCCTTTCCGCCCTGCTGCTGTTCCTGCTATAGTACCTCAGGGAGGTGAGAAAAAATAGGGCAGAAGTAACCTAGGCACAGTCCTCCTTATTCTCTAGATAAGGTTGCCAGGTAAAATATAGAACACTCCATTGAATTTGAAATTCATATGAACAACAAATATTTAGCGTATGTCCCAAGTATTGCATGGGACATACTTAGACTAAAAAAAAAAAAAAAAGAAAGAAAAAACGATTCCAATTTAACTGGGCTTTCTGTGTTTTTATTTGCTAAACCCAGCTCTTGCCCTTCTCACCCATACCTTTTCCTGAACACCTTACCTATTCATCATCTTCACATGGGGGGCGGGGTGGTACCTTATAACCAAAATATGGAATGTTGTTCTAATCCTTCCTAGTTTTAAGAAATAATATGCTGTTTGTATTTGGCCTTGCTGATGAGTCAGTTTAATTGAACCAGTGTCTCCAGGGAAATACACCAAAAAGGAAACTGATAAATCTTCCAGATCACCACAAGTATCTGAATATGGTATTCTTTGTGGGCTGGACTACACCATTCTTTGTTCTTCAAATGGTCTAATTTCCCATCTGTTTCCTTTTCAGCCAGAAGAAAAATGCCAGTCAGAGGTAAGGAACAGTTTGCTCTTTCACCATATCAGAGATTTTACCCAGGTCAACCTGGAAATGGCCTCCCAAAGCAAGTAATCCTGTCCCTCCACCTCTTTAGATTCGCAAACTGCGGCGGGAACTGGATGCCTCCCAAGAGAAGGTCTCAGCGTTGACCACCCAGCTGACAGCAAATGTAAGTGCACATCCAGGGCAATAGCCCTCGGGCTGGGAAGCAGCCATCCCTGCCTTCTGAGCCATGCCTCAAGGCCTCTAGTCTGAACATACAGAAGCGACTCACTGTCATCATAAAGACACAAGCTTCAGCATCATGGGTGTGAATGTCAGCTCTGACACTTCCTGGCTCTGTGACTTTGGGCAAGTTCTTGAACCTCTGGGCCTGAATTTGCTCATCTGTGTAACACGGGTAATAATATCTACCTCTCAGAGTTGTCCCGGGATCAGCACTTGCAATATATTAAGTGTTCATTAAAATGTTAATTTATCTTCCCTTCCCCTTTCTGAAAATTTTTATCTTAAAGGGGAAGACAAGAAGCAGAAGCAAAAAAGGAAAGAAAGGAGGGAAAAATGCATGGCTCCACAATAAACAGCCAGCTACTATGTCATTATAATACTCACGATTGCGTGTTCAGGAGACATGCTAACTGACATTCAATTCAACAGCTGTTTGAATGCCAGCTGTGCCCCAGGCACTGTGGGTTCAACAGCAGAGCAAGTATAGTGACTGACATCTTAACATTCAATCTCTGGGACAGCCAAGAGACAAAACAATTTTGCTATAACATGATAACCATTAGCAGAGAGGTAAAGGGAAAAGGAGGGTGTGGGAATATACAGGGAATACGCCTAACTCAGTCTTGGTAGGGGTGAGAAGAGGTTCCTGGAAGAGGTAACATCTCATTGATGCTGTGTAAGGGATTGCATGGGGAGGACAGCACTCTAACCAGAGAGGATCATTTGTGCAGAGGCTAAGGAGAAAGATCCTGGTGCATTTCAAGCTCTCTAACTTGGCATAACCTGTGGCTTGGATGGGGAGGGTGGGAAGAGATGGAAGTAGGGAGGAAGCAGGCGTCGAAGAAAGGCAAGGGTCAGATTGCACAGTGTCTTAGCATTGAGGTTGAGAGCAGTGAGGTTAGTAGAGCCCTCTCAGTGAGTCTTTAGAAAGCCCCCCCGACTATGTCGTGGATACAGGATTAGAGGAGTCAGAGTAGAGGTAGAGGTCCCCTTCCCTATCAGCCTGGTCTCTAAGATCATTGCCTGCTGCAAATGTGCAGAAGGCAGAGTCTGAGGTATGGGAGGGCACTGAGATGCCTCTGAAGCAAGGCTTCCTGGCCAGGAGGTCAGAGCCCAGCCTAAGCCCACAGGCAAATGTGTTTGAGCCTGTCAGAAAGAAACCTGCAAGGCTACCATGTTATTAAAATGGAAAGCAACTTCAGAAGGTTATCTTCCTATGCCCAGGAAACTAAGTCAATACTCCAAATGAATCACTTACCAGAATTTTTTCCCTGGTATTCCCAGCTTGACCTCAGTCCACCCAAGGAAACCATTTTCCCCTTGAGGTCTGCGCATGAAGCACCTGCTGAACCTGAGTTACAACCTCAGTCATTGGCAGCTGCCTTCATTATTATGCAGTCTCCTCTTTCATTTCTGGAGATCTTTGGGGTTTTTTTTTCATTTTTCCAAAACCCTGGCATACAAGGCCACTGTGTGTTTTGTAATCCTTTCTTTTCTACCACCAAGAATGCTATCAAAAGAACCTCAGAAGGTGATGTGAGGACTGAATTCTGAGACTTAGATTCTATTTTTAAAAACGCAGTATTCTACAGGTAGATTCTGCACCTGAATAACCGGATGTGTGCATTTGAATTCTGAACAAACTCTAGACCCAAAGAGCCAGGGTCTTCTGGGTATAATCCAAACTAGGAGCTTGACAGCAGGAATTTGGAGCTACTCACATGGTAGAGCGTTGCAGCTGCTGGCTACTGCCCTTTTCTGATCAACAAATATTCATCAGTTTCCTTATCAGTGAACTTGGGTGAATTCTGCCCATGACCTTGTGCTGGTGCAAGGAGCCTTATGTTGGGCCATTTGAAACTCTGCTCTCTGTTCAAGAAGAGTCAGAGTGAGATCCCTTCTATTATTCCAGAAGTATGTTTTGTTCCTCATAAAAGCCATTGAATCCAGTATTGTTTTAAAGTAAATATTTAGTCTTACCACATACCACCGGCAGGGCGAACGTGTTTTATTGTCTGCCATCTTTCTCACAGACCAAGCTGTGTTTGTTTTTCTAGGACAAACTACTCAAGGCCACCTTCTCTGGGTGTTTTTATACCCTCATGTTTGTTTTCCCTGGGAACGTGAGAATGGCGCACGATGAGAAGACTGTTGTGTGGCTCTGAACCAGGCTGAGGACGGCCTCCCAGCTCATATTTTCTTAGTGGCATGCATGACACAAAGGCAGCCCTTTTGCTTGCCAGAAAAATGGGATCCTCTGGTTCTTCAGAGCAAATGTGGTTTCTTTTTGAGCTTGCAAAAACACTTTCTCAGTAGCGGTCTTTGTGGGGTCAGACTTTTGTTTTTAATTGGATGGGAAATAGAACTGGAATCATTGGTGATAATCAAATGTAGAACTGAAATCATGGAAATCCAGGCATTTAACTTTAACTTTATCATTCCTTTACCATATGAGACCAGCAAATGTTTTTGTAGGCATCCATGTCCTGCCCATTTCCTTCGTTGACCATGTGATTGTCTTGAATTAATTGGCTTTAGTTTTACCACTCTCTCTTGGGCAAACGGCAGCCCATCTCTTTCTTTTAAAATGCAGAGGTGTTTTCTTCATTGGTAACAGAGAGAGGGAGTGCAGTCAGAAAGAAAATAGCAATTCCACTCAGCGTACTACAGGCAATCCTGCTCCCTGCCAGCAATGAATCTAAAGATGTTCCCCTTGACCATCCCTGTTGGACAGAGTCTAATAACAGGCCTGTTCACTCTTCAGATCTCTCCTTGGATTAAAATGCCACTGCCCCTGCTCATTCCCAGAAAAAGTCTTCTTCCTGCCTGCTGCCTGGTGTTACCCAGCTTATAAGTTTTACCGTGAGCACCAAGCCATCTTTTCTTCTAGAATTTTATAGCATGACCTTACTTTTCCCAAGACTCCTCCCAGGTGCCCTCTCCTGGCCCGTCCTCTATTCCCTGTCATAGACCTGGGTGTCTACTCCCCCTCCCTGCACCTGTTCTCAGGTAACAGGACTCCTCCCATAGTTCCTTTTGCCACTTGCTCATTCCAGACTTCTTTCTTTCCCCACAAGTGTTCACTCGTTCCCATGTTTTACAATTCCTCAACAGCTCATAGGCCATCTTTGCCTGGCTTGTTTCATTTAGTGCTCAAAATGACTCCAGGAGGGAAACAGATATTGCTCCCATTTCATAGATGAAACTGAGGCCAGTAGGGTTAGAGGACTTGCTCAGCACTCTGGGTAATCACAGGAAACTGGAAGGAGAGCTAAAGATCTCTACTCCTGCATCCCTCCCCTGTGCCATGCTGCCCCCTCATCGAAGTATGTTCCTTTTCAGTCTCTCATTGCTCATTTATCAAGTGACTTCTTTGTACCAACCATGAAGATATGGGGGAGCAAGATAGACACAGTACAACCGTCATCAGGTGCACAGTCTGGTGGTCCACCTAGTCTGCTGCCCAGGTGCTTCTTACTATAGCACACACCACTCTTCCATTTATACAGGTAGTGTTTGGAGGTGAGAAGCTCCTGGCCAGCTAATGGATTCTTAAATTGTTTGCTGGGAATGCCCTAGCATGACTGTTTTTAAAAGCATCTACTCTCAAAGGCCAGGCATGTAGCTTAATCCTGTAATCCCAACATTTTGGGAGGCCGAGGCAAGAGGATTGCTTGAGGCCAGGAGTTTGAGACCAGCCTGGCCAACATAGGGAGACCATATCTCTACAAAAAAAAAAGAAAAGAAAAAAAAAAGCGTTCATTCTTAATTCTTGGTTTTAATGATGTTACTAGGATCCTCATTCAACCAACCAACATTTCAACTTCCATTCTGTGTCCCTGGCAAAGGCTTTGTGGTAGGACCCAAAGTTACCTCTTGCCCTTGAAGAGAATTGCAGAGAAGCGGGCAGGCAGGGAAACACCACATTTCTCAGTTCTAAGAGATACTCTTTTTTTCTCTCACATTTTAACATCTCTGAAAATTGGATGCATATTTTAATTATAATTGGCAACATTAAAAAATGCCTTAGTGATACATAAAATAATGGTGCATCTGATGTCATGTCCTAAGGACTGGATAAAAATACATGGGAGCCTGGGGGAAGGTCATACTCCCTGGGAGAACTGGGGAAGGTTTCTCCAAGGAGGTAGCAGATGGGCCTTTCAGTGGCCTTTTAATAGCCAGGATTATAACAAGAAAAATATGCCAACCGCTTTGTTCGTTCATTCTACTGACATGTTTAATGTGAGCCTCTCCTGTGCACTTGGCACTTGGTGAACAAAGATCATCCTGCTCTGTAGTAGGGAAGATAGACACAAATCAACAGTCCCAAGACCACGTGCATTTTTAACTAGGCTATCACAAGACATGTGTCAGAAGTACAGTGCTTCTGCAAGGGTGAACATGAGAGAGCCAACCCAGTCTGGGGTGTCATGAGAGCTCTTGAGATGGACATGTAAAAATTAGGAAAGAAAGGAGCAAGGGTTGAGGGGAAAAGCATTCCAGGCAGAGGGGAAAGGGTGTATGATGACCCTAAGTTGTGAAGGGGTTTAAGGTGGTTGAGCAAATAAAAGACTGGAGTTATTGGAGCCCAAGAAGTGGTGGGGAGTTGGATTCAAGAGGAGGTGGGAAGAAATAGGCGGAGGCTAGAGCAAGGGTCCCCATAGGATTTCCATCTTTCAGAGCCAGCACCTTTGAGGCACTCTTACCTTGCCAGGTAACATAACCTAAGCCGTGTCTTCCCCCCCAGGCACACCTTGTGGCAGCCTTTGAACAGAGTCTCGGAAACATGACGATCAGGCTCCAGAGTTTGACCATGACAGCTGAGCAGAAGGTAACTCAGAAAGGATGCTTTTTTTCCTGCCTGCTCGGAGTTAACAATAAACCTAAAAATACTATTCTCTTTCCTTTCAGATCATTGTATAGATTTGAATGTACATTTTGATGTGTTAACATTTAATTGTAAAGAGTTGGTAGGTCTGTTGAGTGAACATGTGGCTTTGATGGAGTGACGGTGATGCCATTGGTGACAGACCTTGTAGTCATATTCCTGATTTTGTCCTGTGTTTGTGTATGCCCGCTGGAAACTGATCCTGATTGTGTGAGACAGAGGTTTTGTTGTGCTGTTTCACTCCCTGCCCTCCTGTGTTGAAGTTAAGTGTACTTTGGTTGAAATCTGTCTGGAATGACTTAGGATGACTAGTGATTCTCTGTGTTCCCCAGGATTCAGAACTGAATGAGTTAAGGAAGACCATTGAGCTCCTGAAGAAACAGAACGCAGCTGCCCAGGCTGCCATTAATGGAGTAATTAACACACCGGAGCTCAACTGCAAAGGTAAGGCAGAAGAACGGCCTTTAGACAGAAGGCCTGCTCCCTTCAGAGCTTTCCCTGACAAGTGTGATACAAGCTCCCTATCAGGGCAGGTAGCTGAGGAATCCATCTCTGTCAGGTGGGCAGGTCCTGGAAGGATCTTTAATTGGGTCACTCATGCTTATGAAAACAACTGTTATAGCTCATCTCTTCACTGATATAGGTCAAAATTGGAAGAAGATATCTTTCTATTGGCAGAGCATCAGAGTGTCTTACAGCCCTTAACTGCACTAAAATTTGGTGTTTACATGCTGATCTCTGGGATAAACTGAACTGGGCTCCTCCCCTATTTGTCCAGGAAAACATTTCTGAGTGAATTGCTTTGCCCTTGTATGTACTAGTGAGGGTAAAAGAAAAAATGTAGGTGTGCGGGTGAGTGACTGCCTCCAGTCACAATATTAACAATAATAATAACAGAGGTAATATGGACAGCCAGCATTTATGGAACACTTGCTGTGTTCTAAGCACCATGCTAAGTGTTTTAGTGATTTAAGGGATATTTTCTTTTCCTTCTCCAACAACCTTGTGTATGTGATACTGGTCCTTTCTTCGCTGTACTGATGACACCAGGGTTCAGAGACGGGAGTCGCATTCTAAGGTCAGGGATTAGTGAGAAACCAAAGTGGGACTGGACTGTAAAACCGGTGCTCTCAAAGGCCAGTCTTCAGGTGTAGTTCTGTCCTCAGGAGGAAGATTGTCAACAAATTTTGTCGCTGTTGCTGCCGTTTGCAGTATCACTGTTCTTTTGGCTGTTGGGCCTTCTGAAAAAGCGATGATAGGGTTTAGATGGGAAGGATTAGCCGGAGCTGGCTGGACAGAGTTGAGGGGAGAGCATGCTGGCAGGGAAATAACATGTGGACAGGCCCTGAGATGAGGGTGGGCATGGCACTTCCATATGGCTGCGAAAAAGGACACTGAATCAGCCGGGCATGGTAGCCACACGCCGGTAGTTCTGGCTACTTGGAAAGTTGAGGTGGAAGGATTGCCTGAGTCCAGCAGGTTGATGCTGGGGTGGCCGTGAGTGTGCCACTGCATTCCAACCTGGGCAACAGAGTGAGACTCCAACTCAAAAAAAAAAAAAAAGAAAGGCCACTGTGGCAGGAACCTGGAGGACAAGGGAGGAGGGACTGACAGTGAAAGTGACCACTGCCACAGCTCAGAAGCACATTCCCAGGCCTATCGAAAGCGTAAGGAAGCTGGTGTTGGGGAAAGTCTCCCTAAGTCTTCCTTGACTTCTGTTTATAAAGTGGGGAAGGATAGGCCTCACTTAATTGATCAAAGAGAGCATAGCACCCATCTACTCAAGGATCTTAAAACCAGCAGTGGGCATCAGAGGTGATGCCTATCTAAAACACCTAGCAGTTTGTGGGCATGTGGATTTTGCTTGAAGGGCCTTTCCCTGCCATGATGGGACTCAGGTCCTGATTTGGTCTCCAGGAAATGGCTCCACCCAGTCTGCAGACCTCCGAATCCGCCGACAGCATTCCTCAGACAGTGTCTCCAGCATCAACAGTGCCACCAGCCACTCCAGCGTGGGCAGCAACATAGAGAGTGACTCCAAGAAAAAGAAGAGGAAGAACTGGGTGAGTGTCCATCCACACACCCTCCTGGGGACTGACAGTCAGGGTTAGCCGCAGACCGGTGTCCCCCAGAGAAAGCCCAACCTTGCTCCCAACTGCAGATCATAGCCCTTTGGGAGCAGACCCCAGGAAATGGCTTGTGGATAGGTTTTTACTAAAATCAATAGTGTGCTCAGCAAAACACTAGAATCTATCAAATCACCACCACCTTGTAGCCTTTCTCTTTCCTGAGACTTGATGTGAAATACTCATCTTTCATTTCATATGTGTCATTTCTTCTTCATTATGTGTTGGCCACAAAGTTCCAGGTACCAGAGCAAAGTTACTCTTAAGTGGTTTCTTCTTACTCCCAAGATATTTTTTTGAGCAAATGTGTCACTAGTTACCTTATTGTTAACCATAATCTTTATTGAGTTATTTCCACTATTGCCTAGGATAGGATCAAACCATCCTTGTCTTGGAGTCATTCCAAACTGCGGGGTGGGCCTTGTAATGGTGAATTTAATCGAGTTTAACTCCATGGCAGTGTTTCTCCACATACTTATAATCCCAGCAAGCTGCTTGCTTTTCTGTACAGTGGTGTCTTGAACAGTTTGGTTTTTTTTCCCCACTCTCCTGGGAATATTCTACCTCCTCCCCTCAATCAGTTTTTAGTCCTTCTATGGAGGCAGCTGAGCTTCGACTGACATTTGCTGCTCCTGGTCTTCAGTGTAGGAATATCCCAGGTTGATCTGAACTTGGCCAATGGTCCAAGGGCCCCATGTGTGTTGGCATCCCGTTTCCATAGTGACTTCTGTGTCCTCATTCATCCCACACACGTCTCACTCATTGTGTGTTATCTTGGATGGGTGGCGAGGTCTAGTGACAGAGAACTTAGGGATTTTATGATTTTAGTTATTAATGACTTATAGTGGAAGCAAGCTACAAGGCCAGTGGCATAACACTCTCATCATTCTGATTAAATTTTTTCTTTAAGTTACTAATGGCTTTTATGCAGCTCATTTGTTTCATGACTAAAAACAAATGGGATTAACTCATTTGTTGGGCTGTCTCTAATATTTGATTGATAAATATGGGCTGTCATTTGGGCTGTCTCTAATATTCGATTGATAAATATGGTCTGGCTTGATTGCCAAAGTGATGAGAGAGAACTGTTTTTGTGAAAAACAGTTGTTATTCATTTTCTTCAAGAAATAAAACTTGTCTGTATTGCTTTAAGACAACTCTTGGTTATTAGTAAAATCAGGGAAGATGGATAATTGGCCTCCTCAGCTAATCCCAAAGCTTAATTCTGTCTAATCTTTGTGATCTCTCCCACCTGGCTTTCCACCAGGGGTAGAGGCAAGGACTTAGGTTGGTGGCTCCTGTGCCTAACCCTTCTGTTTCTGTGACTCATTTCTGGAAATGTTATCAGAAGCAGGAAGAGGGGGAGAGAACTGGGATGTAGATTGAACATGCGCTGGACGTGCAGCTTATTGTGGATGAAACGCACAGATGGGAGAGAAACCTCAACTTTCAGAATGGCCCATTTTCTGACTTTTTCTATGACTAGAAAATCCCCAGAATATATTTTCATAAAGAAAAAAAGACTTGCCAGGCTTGGTGGCTCAGCCTGTAATCCCAGTGCTGTGGGAGGCCAAGGTGAGTGTATTGCCTGAGCCCGTGGGTTCGAGACCCACCCAGGCAATTTGGCGAGACCTCATCTCTACAATAAATCACAAATTAGCCAGGCGTGGTAGTGTGCACCTGTAGTTCCAGCTACTTGGAAGGCTGAGGCAGAAGGATCCCCGGAGCTCAGCAGGTTGAGGCTGCGGTGGCCAGGAGCATGCCACTACACTCCAGTCTGGGCGACAGAGTGAGACTCCAACTCAAAAAAAAGAAAAAGAAAAAAGAAAAAAAAGACTTTAGAAAAAGGAAATTGTAGGCCAGGCGCAGTGGCTCATGCCTATAATCTCAGCACTAGATCAGCCTGGGCAATTTGGCAAGACCTCATCTCTGCGATAGATCAAAAAAATTAGCTGGGTATGATGACACATTCCTGTAGTTGCAGCTACTTGGTAGGTTGAGGTGGAAGGATTGCCTGAGTCCAGCAATTTGAGGCTTCGGTAGCTATGATTGTGTCATTACACTCTAGCCTGGGTGACAGAGCAAGACTCTGCCTAGGAAAAAAAGAAAGAAGCCGGGCTCGGTGTCTCAGCCTGTAATCCCGCGGCTTTGGGAGGCTGAGGTGAGTGGAATGCCTGAGCCCGCGGGTTCAAGACCCGCCTGGGCAACTTGGCGAGACCTCATCTCTACAATAGATAAAAAAAATTGGCCGGGCATGGTAGCGCACGCCTGTAGTTCCAACTACTTGGAAGACTGAGGCGGAAGGATCCCCGGAGCCCAGCAGGTTGAGGCTGCAG